TATATATATATTGTGTGTGTNTATATATATATATATATATATATATATATCGAAACAAGAAATATATATGTAAATATAAGAAAATAACTACGCACCCATAGTGTCAAGCCGTTATGAAATTCACTGCTTCAATAGTATCGTATCTTGTTCCAGATGTGTTGTTATTCGTTTTTGGTATTCACTACTGTCTGTCCTATATCAGAATCTCAACACAGGGCGCGATATATAGTACGTACTATGTAACGCATATACAACAAGATATTCAACAAGTAAATACATTCATACATATAGACTTCCTGCATTATTTAAAAAATATATTAATTGCTACGTACATTTAAAAAATATAAAAAATTAAAGGCGCCTAAATCCGTGCGAGTTTGAATGTCATGATGAGTAACCCGATTTCTATCTCTATTTTTCCACACAAGTTGTTATATTATTTGTTTATGTTCCAATTTTATTCTCAAATTTGCTCAAACTCGTTGAACGTACGTACGCATACAAGCTGGGAAATATAGAACCACTCAATACATTTCCAGAAAAATGGTTCTATGAACAAATCCGAACAAATGCCAAATTCTATTGAAACGAACGCACGCGCAGACTCAGAGCCGCAGGCTGCAAAGGCGTTGGGAACAGATCTCATTCTTTCTCTCTCGTGTGTGTGATTGGTCCTAAGAAGTATGTGTGTATTTATATGTAAATGAGAGACGTGTAGAGCATGTATCACACAGTACTGCTTAGCCATTCATAAAGGCCATTCATAAAGATATATATTGTAGTGTATGCACTCTTGCACTATGCTATTATAATTCGGTGCCTACCCTCTGGAAAATATAGAAACGATCACGTCCATACACACGAACCGAATAAAGTAAAGTACAGTACAGTAGGTGTGCGTGCTGCAAACTCGGATAGGGTGCTAATATATAGCTGTCCGCAAAACTTTTTGATTGACAGTGTAATATATTGTTGAACAACGTATTACATGTAATTCACATACACATACATACACGATTTTAATATAAACAGATATTCAATCATGGAAATGTTAAACTTAGACTCTATCATAGAGCGATTACTGGAGGTCCGCGGCAACCGACCAGGGAAACAAGTAAGTCAGTGTTTTTGTATCTGCAAGTCCATTTGTAGAAGTACCATGCTAGCTATTACACAACCCACATAAATTCGATCCTATTTGTCTTACACATCATGAATATATATATATATATTTATATATATATATATATATATATATATATATATATATATTATATATATATATATATATGTGTATATGTATATATTTCTTATATATATATATATGTGTGTGTGTGTGTATGTATATATGTATGTATGTTTGTATATATATATATGTGTGTGTGTGTGTGTGTGTGTTTATATATATGTACTTATATATGTCTATATGTCTATATTTATATATGTGTGAATATAGGTTATATAAATGTACATTTGTGTTAGTTTGTACGGAATTGTGTTTCGTATATATATATTAATACATATATAGTATGAGTCGGTATGTCTGCGTGTGCATGTGTATAGATATTCATATCAATAAATGTGTATACGCACAAGTGTTTGTTCGTGTTGTTTCATATACGTATGTGCATGTTTTTGAGTTTGCAAAACAATGCATTTGTGGATATGTGTATTAAGAAATATATACGTATATACTTCTGCATGTGTATGTGTCCGTTTGTATGCTTGCATCTATTAATGTATATATATATATATATATACCTGTATGTATGTGCGTGTACGTTTGCATGTAATATATATATATATATGTATGTATGTATATATTCGTGCGTATGTATCTACGTATCGTTATATGTATATATTTATATGTGTTTTCTATATTAGTACATGTTAATATATATGTTCTTGGGTTTTATTTATATTTATCTTTTGATGTATATATTTTATGTTTGTGTATACATACATTTGTTTGTATGTATATATATATATATATATATATACAATCTATTCTTATGGTTCAATCCTACTTTTATTGTTACCATAAATTTACAAAGCTATATTTAAACATTTGGATTCATATACATGTAAATGTATTTATATATATGTGTGTGTGTGTGTATGGGTACGTTATGCTTCTGGGTTAGGTGGAAATAGTCCGTATGTCTTCTTTTCTCTGCGCTTTGATCTTTTTGCTAAGGTGCTGCCTCGTTTAGGCTGTATGTGGTGCTGTCGCCCATGCTGTACGTGAAATACTATACACAAATCATGGCTTTACTTTTTATTAGTTCCATCTTACACATATTTCTTACTTCACTGTGTCGGATTCCTAATTACAATCGCGACTCTTATTGTTACTATTCCCTTGGTCTTATATGGGTGTCTATCTCGTATAGTTGTGTATATTTATCCGTCGTTTTGTACCCATAGGTACCGCTTCTAGAGTCAGAGATTATTGGGCTGTGCATGCGGACGCGCGAGATATTTTTAGAACAGCCTGTACTTCTGGAGCTAGCTGCGCCAATCAAAGTGTGCGGTGACATACACGGACAGTACTATGACCTGTTAAGGCTATTTGAGTACGGCGGTTTCCCTCCAGAGGCCAACTATATATTCATGGGTGACTACGTAGACAGGTACGTGGATGCCCACGCATTGGTGCAAGTCACAAACAATCGCCATGTACTCAGGAATATGCGTACGGGGATTGTGTTTCGTAGTGAATTCGTGCAGGAGTCGTGGTTAGTGTGTGTGGTCGTGAAGTGTGGCTATAGCGCCTGCGGTGGTGTGTCGATACGGAATATGCAGTTCGTATGTGTGGTCGACAGACGGCTCAAATTAATGCTTGCGTTCAATCACTGAGAGATGACGATATATATCCGAATAAGCCATTTGAATGGAGAATCAACACCGTGGCTTGTGATTTTGTTCCAAGACTACATCCCCGTCGAGTAGGGCTGCGGTTACAAAACATTTCAAGACTAGTCTTGAATCTGCATTGTGACACACCAAGAAAGTCTGACCTGTTCTCGCGTGGTGTAGGTGGTGATAGTGTCTCAGTTACATTGTGAATGGTATGTGTAGACCTTTTCAAAGCATTGTCTTGTTATGGTATATGGTATCACTGTGGTTATCTTTATATATATATATATATATATATATACATTATGTATGTATGTATGTATTTAAGTATGTATTTATGTTTGTATGTATGTATGTATGTATAAGGCGCCAGTTTGATTGTTTTTCTCTGCTGGTCCGATAAGAATCATTCCAACTTCTAGGAGGCCGTATTGCATTGCCTTTTCGACTGAACTGGGGTAAACATGCTATAGTGTATAATATATTATAGTGGTTACAACTCGTGCTATTTTTCGTGACCTGCACCTATGAAACGTAACTACGATTGTAATAATATTAGCTTGAGGTTTGAGTGTGCCAATCCATGGATGATCTGACTCGTTATTATCCCCATTAGCATATCCTAAACCGTCTGCACCGCTTGTAATACGACACAACTGCAATTAGAATCCTGTCCCCACTCACTTTCTAATACCTTGAGCAATCAGCAATTTTTATAAAACGACGTAACTGGTTGTAATCCTGTATCGACCCACTTTCTGATACACTGAACAGAGGAAAGCAATCGCTGGAGACTATCTGCTTATTGCTCGCTTACAAAATTAAGTATCCTGAGAACTTCTTCCTACTCCGCGGCAACCACGAATGCGCGAGCATCAACAGAATATATGGCTTCTACGATGAGTGTATGTTGATCCCTCACTTTTCGCTCGTGCGCGAGATTTTTTGACTCATGTTGATCTAAACATCACGTATATATATATATGTATGTATGTATGTATGTATATATGCATATGTATATATATATATATATATATATGTGTGTGTGTGTGTGTGTGTGTATATATATATATATGAGGATTTCCATGTATATGTGTGTGTGTATGTATGTGAGGATTTTCCAAGAACAAACCGCCTGCGTGTTGTGTTGCAGCGTATGTAGTATATTTCTCTGTACGCGAGTGTCGTATTAAAGTTGTACTGTTCGTTATTTTGATACTATTGTGGAGAATTCACTTCGTTCGTGATATGAAGTTCAGCACGTGGTAAGCTGTATACATCAGGTTGTCGCATGCTTTGCCCACAAATCTCGAATATCGAATACTACGCACACGCATATACATACAGTGATTCCCAATTCACTCCGCATGACACTACACCATACCATCATTCGAATGAATCAGAATTGTGACAAAGGCTTTTAATCGTGCTGGTATTGCCTTATATTACTCACTGCAGGCAAACGCCGATATTCGATTAAGCTGTGGAAAACGTTTACAGATTGCTTCAACTGCCTGCCTGTGGCTGCCATTATAGATGAGAAGGTGTGTGCATGTGCCATACTACATTATGAACGATGTATCAGCACAAGATAACGTGTAGTGGGTCATACAAATGCATCACCATAACTTATGAAATACGCTTTCAATAGTGTATATGTATCTGCCTGAGGAGGTGTCATCACACTGACCTGCGGCCATCTAAGGTGTCGTTCTACACGCTCCGAGTGTACTGCTGTTTGGCATTCACCTCGCTGTAGGCATATGCATTCTGGTGCTTGTGAATGGACGTAAAGGCGGTTGTGTGCTGCCCTTGTGTGGTCTTTTTGTGTACTGGTTTGCTTATATGCGCATATATGTATGTCTTTTCATGCTGCTTTAATCAGAATGCAAGATTTGTATTCTTTTTGCTCGAACAATTATAACACGTCGTATACACATACACATTATAAATCGCTACATAGTAGATATATATATATATATATATATATGCTTATTTATATATATATAAGGTTAAATGGGGAAAAATACTTTTAGATTCTTAATCACATTTAAAACATGTTTGTTCTTGTGTCGGTGTCTGTTTCTGTAGTACAATATATTAATGTATGTATTTATATACTTTTTACACACGTCTACCAATTTACATAAATGGATTCTCACACACGTACAGAAATTTACACGTACAAACATTGTAAAATATTGACATGTATACATACCATGTACACATGGTTTATATAGACATACTTATACGTAACCATGCAACTTGTATCCGTGTGCAAACATGGCTATATAAACATACACATGTGTGTGTGCAAGTGTAGGCACCCGTTCTATGTGTTGATACACATACACTTTTACTCTTGTGTGTTAGCCATGCGAGCGGTTGTGTTGTCTACGTAGAGCAAGTCGCCACTATATTCTACCTTTGTAGCGCAACTTCCACCCAATTTGGCTTACTGTCTCATATGATACAATTTGAGCTTACTGTCTCAGTCTCATATGACAATTTGAGCTTACTATCTCAGTCTCATATGATACAATTTGAGCTTACTGTCTCATAGGATACAATTCTAGTTTATTTTCTCATATGATACAATTCTAGTTTATTTTCTCATATGTCATATTAACGAATCCGCTCCACGTCGCACTCCTCTATTCTCGCCGATAACCTTAACCTTCTGTTGCGCCTCTGTGGTGTTTTAAGCCCATTTTGTGCTGTCCGACAATTTTGTCGCCGTTGCCATCTTTACTATCGTTAACTGACACCTGAATAGTAATATGTGTACCTGCTTGCATATTGTATACAATTTTGTCGCTGTTGTCATCTTTATTATCGTTAGTTGACACCTAAATAATAATATGTGTACCTGCTTGCATATTGTGTATGCCTCGACAGATTTTCTGCTGCCACGGAGGACTCTCGCCGGATCTCAAACACATGGACCAAATCCGAGATCTAAATAGGCCTCAGGATGTACCCGATTCTGGACTGTTGTGTGATTTATTATGGTCCGATCCTGACAAAGATATATCCAGTTGGGGTGATAATGACAGGTGTGTTGGCGAGATGTAAACCGTTGTATGAAGAATGCCAAAGTTATTTTTTGAGCTTGTGTCTATAACTGGAGTCGCTATGGGAAACTTCTTCGTATGGCACGGCACCTGTAAGTAGAAATGGCGGGTGGGCATGAGGTCAAACACATATGTGAGTGTTTGTTGTATTGCAATGTGAATTTTGTTGTATTACAGTGCAGATTAATTATCGCATGTGTGTGTATCTGCGTGTTTTGAGCTCATACGCACATTGATGTTGGTACTTGTTCTTATGGGAATTCAACTATGCATTTAAAGTTAGTTTTAAGTACGTGACGTTTGTATGTATGTGTGTACCTATTTTCGTTTCAGCTCGCTGACCATGCGACTGTATTTCATATTCGCCACGCAATCAATATCACAAGCAATCAATTGCTTTGAGAGAACAGACGTTGCGCCCAGATATACTATGCCTCGGTTCCTTGTTATTTTTATTTTTATTCCCTTATTTTTGGCTCAACTATTGTCAATATATCATTTATTGACTCGAATTTTATTTATATATATCCATTCATTGACTCAAATTTTATTCATATATCTCCATTCATTGACTCAAATATTGTCTATGTGTCGCTTTTATTGGCTCTATTTTCAATCACAGAGGTGTGTCGTGGACATTCGGTGCGGAAGAAGTGGCTAACTTTCTGGCACAGCACGATCTTGATTTGATTTGTAGGGCTCATCAGGTGGGTATTGCGTTGATGTGTTTACACACGTGCAAATTTGGGGGTTTTTTATACCCCTGATCTCACCTTTGTTTGAAGCGCTCGAGAGGTTTATGCTTCGTCAATGTGTATGCGTATTCGTAAAAGTAGAGCTTACTATACTATAGCACGACCTATACGAGTCCTTTAGTGCTTGTCAGGTTTGTGCCGTCTCAATGCGTGTACTTTTAAACCATGCGTACTGTATGTACAAGCATGCCTTCTATGTTTCTAAAGCTTTCATCGGGTTTGTGCCCTGTCAACACGTACAATTATGTATGTATATCGTAATCCTATTTGATATGTAATACTGATCAAGCTGTCGCCGTGTCAACGCGTATGTATGCACGCTTGTACTCTACGTTTAGTACCTCGACGTGGTTTACAGATCCAACTATAACAAACACACACGCTCCATCTCCATCACATTTACCGAACATTACACGATCATATACATATGTCCATAATCGGTCTAGCCTGGGTTCGCAAGTCTTTGTATGTCAGTTGTGTATTAGTACGACGTATTTGCCAAGTGACAATGTGTGTCTCTAAATGGTGTACGTACATATAGAATACGGTCATCGCGGAGCTTCTTATACAACCCTTCTTTATTGTTATACATATCCAGAGATATCTGTGCTTCGTATTCCTCATGCATTGTTCGTCAACAGGTGGTTGAAGACGGCTACGAGTTCTTCGCCAACCGGCAACTGGTGACGCTGTTTTCTGCGCCCAACTACTGTGGAGAATTCGATAACGCCGGCGCTATGATGAGCGTCGATGAGTCATTGATGTGCTCCTTCCAGGTAAATGTCCCAAGTGTTCGTACAAGACCGTGTGAACCTGTTAGTGTGTATAGCGTTGTTTAAGGTTTGTATGCGTAGTATGTACCGGCCGATTACAGCTAGTGTGCGCACTCAGGTTTTTGAAGCTGCACAATTCAATTTATCAATATCGAAACAAAGGTCTTATCTGCGTACCGAGGTATGCCAATTCCTTCTTCACCACTGTATATATTGTGTATTTTATGTGTGTATATGTATATATCTATATCTATATATTATACAATATATATATATATGTGTGTGTGTGCTATTGTGTTTTTGTTTGCGATTTTGTACATATCAGTATTAATATATTTATGTGTGCGTGTATCTATATCTATCTTTTTATGTATGTATATTTAAAGTATATGTATATATATGTATATGCGTAAATGTACATATGTTCATGTCTATGTATACGTATATATATATATATGTCATGTTAATGTTGATGTTAATGTTAGTATTGGTGTTAGTATTAATGCTAATGTAGAGGTTAATGTACATATATCAATATCAATATATGTGTGTGTGTCTATATGTTTATATATATATACTTTTTCATATTCATATATGTTTTTAGTCAAATACACAAACATAATACAAATATGTGTGTGTGCGTGTTTTGTGGGTATATAGATATAGCAATATCGTATATATATATATGTGTGTGTGTATGTTTGTTTTTTTGTTTGTATTTATATACTATATATATATTATTATTATTATTATTTTATATTATTTTATATATGTACATATATACATAATATGTATGTGTGTATTAGTGTTTGCATCTGTATATTTGTATATATATCTATGCATAATGTGTATATGTGTGTGTGTGGGTGGGTACGTATATATACGTGTGTACGTATACATAAATATATATATATATGTGTGGGTATGTATTCATATATATATATATGTGTGTCTGTTCTAACCCGTGATTATCTACTATGCAGATTTTAAAACCGGCGGAAAAGAAGACTAAGTTCTCGTACGGTGGTGCGGCCAGTCGCCAACCAGCCACTCCTCCTCGCGCAAAGAAGTGATGCAACTCTTTTAGAAATGTATATACTACCCATAATGCTTAGCGACTGGCCCCGATTGGGATTGCCTCCCAATAAAATTTAAAAATCAAATAGAGGATATATCGTAGTGTTACACTTTACACTTCACAGTATCGCATCGCATTTCAACTGTTTGTACAAATAATGATTCTCTCTCTATTAGTTTTTAGGGAGAGTAGAGAGAGAAGCAAAAGCATCGGATGATTACAACGATCCCTCTACTCTATGCTAAATATTAAAAAAAGCTCATAATAACATAGCCTTCTGAAAAGAACATAATAGAGCAGTGTGGTGTATTTATTTGTGGCCAACATGATAGCTATATTTAGAAGAACACAATTATAAATATATATATATCCTTTTATAGACTTACGCACAGTAGAATCTGCGGATCGTCGAATGGCCATTGTAATTCTTTAGGTTAAGGCGTGCAGTCGATTTGCCCAATAACAAGTACATATGCAAAGTGTGAACTGCTATCAATATAAAATAACTCCGAGACTTTTTTTGGCTTTTTTGAAATTTTTGAAGATGACTCATATACCTATTTCAAGAAATTTGATTCGCACTCCCAAAACCGTATTTCAAAAATTACGAATTCCAAGAGCTCGTCCGGAGTACCGGACCGTTTTCGAGATAGTTTGTTGTTTATTTTCAAAAACAACCCCCCAATAGGTTGGCGGTTTTCCCTTTCCAGTTTCCACCAGTTGCTACTTCCCACTATTCATTTATTACAATTTGTTTTTTACTACCTATTCTCTCGTAAAAAATACAAATTTTGTTTTTACGACCATATTGTATTTCTTGTTTTAAATTTATATATCTTGTATGTGTACCAAATGCGTAGTCTAGCAACTAGTTTCATCCAGTAAATAATCACTGATCAATGATCAGCATTGACAACAAATATTTTTTTAGTGAATGACTGGAACTCTGGAACTCTGTGCCTGAGGCCCTGGGGCCTGGGCTGAGTGGGCTCTACTACACCCTAATAAAGTGCATTCGACCACACCCTGCACACCACCAAGACAATTCGTTCATAAATACCCAGAGTAATAAATACAAAAAATTCAAGAACCAATAGGTAGGAAATTTGAGTACGCTGTTTAGACGCCCTTGGTCTCTAGGCCCTTCCTTATATATATATAGGTTCATATAATATCCGACACGTCAACAATTATTTCCGACTCCCTCACATGTGTTTTATAACAACTAAAAGTATATATTTTTTACTATCGAGTTACCGACACTACTAGTCGATACTCGACTACTCGAGTCGGTATTCACGGTAGTGGGTTGGAAAGTTGTAGTCGGTACAAACAGAATGAGTGGCTATATATATAATATAAGCTGTTGTGGAGCTGAGTGGTGAGCTATTGAGGCGTTGAGGCGTTGAGTCTCGCGTCTTTTAACTCTTGAGTCCAGCCATCATGATGCCACTGGCCACATAAATACAAGAATCTGATCAATATGTGTGTAATATTACTGGTAGCAGTGGTTGATTGACTCTGATGAGTCTGGCTTTTGGGTTCTGATTTCTGAACTTCTGGATCTTCTGGGTTGGCCAAGAGTCCATACAAGAGAGAGAGTCCAAAATAAGACGCCCACTACCCAATGCCCAATGCCTAATAGAGACGAAAAGACAAAATAATTTTTAAAAAAGAGGCCAAAAGGCTTCTGTACATTATAAATTGTATATATATATAATTTTTAAAAAACCAAAGAACACAAACATATATCTATAATAATTTTAAACTGATAGTCTGATATTTGTATACCATTTTTGGGGTTTTTTTAATTAAAATAGTACATACAGAGGATGTAAATACAACGTAAACAAATATTAAAATAACTCCTTGCAAATGCAGACTGCAAACACAAGAGAGTAAATACAAACTACAGACTGCAGACTGCAGACTGCAGACTCACAAAGTGCAGAACTGCAGACACCAGGAGGGTCAGGGCAGCCAGGCCCCAGAGGGCAGCCGGGCCGGGCAGCAGGGGCCAAGGACTCCGCCACTCAGGCTGTTAGGCCCAGTCCCTACTAGCTAGAGTATTTTGGACAAGACCTGCTACTTTTAAAAAGCGCTGAGGGCCTGAAAGCTCAAGCTGAGGCTGTGTCTGTGCGTCTTCAGTGTGAGGCTTTGAGTGTTAGACTGGGAGTGTGAGCCTGTGAGGCTGCGAGTCCGTATCGCCCCTAATAGGCAGAGCTCCAGTCCTCCAGAGGTCAGTTTTTGTTTCTGTTTTCTCCCGTTTCAGGAGGCCTTGCTGAAAGTGTGTGTGACTTTTATTGACAGGGGGGGGTGAGCCCGAGCCCGTGACACGTCACATACAAATAAGAGAAACTGAGAAGAGAGAGACGAGAAGAGAGAGAAGAGAAGAGAGAGAGAGAGCGAGAAGAAGGAATATCACCTCAATTTCAGCACAGTTGTAAACACCGTTTTCTCTCACTATTAGTTTTGAATATTTTTATATCTTTTTATTGTTGACGCAATGTGACGATATCCAAATTATTATTCTTACAGTAAAAAAAAAGTGCAACAGAATAAGGATTTTTTTTAAATATTTTGTTTTTTAAAATTGAATTTGTTTTCTTTAAATAAATATCTATAAATAAAGAGGATTGGATTTGGAAGTGTTTGATTTCAATAACAACACTGACTTTCGTGACTTTTCTTCTTTTTCTTCGGTACACGTACGAAAAAAAATTGGAACAAAAAGGACAGCCGACGGGAGTTGAACTGGTATTATTGATATATTTTTTATTTTTTTACAAAATATAATGCCAAAATAAAATAAAAACATACAATAGCTGTGCCTGTGACTGTGAGTCTGTGACTCAATTTTCTATTTTTATTTTTATATATTTTCTAAAATAATATTGAGCAATAATTGAGGCTATGGAGGAAAAACAGCACGGGCAGCAGCCAGGCCCCCAGCAGCGGCCTGCAAAATTGTTTTTTTTAACAAAAAGAACTAGACGTAGTCACCGAGTGTCCGAGTCACCACTGCATCTCTAACTATCAGACACTCAACAGACTCTCAGGCGCACTGAGCAAAGTCCGAGATCGGGCTATACTAGCAACCTACGTAATTTTCGCAGTGATGTGGTGTGATGTAGCACCCCGATATATTTGAAGCGCGCCTCATAGACCTATAGTGAGGTTATAGGACCAATGCTGATTATTATTATATGTATTTAATCTATCTAAAGAGTTAAATAAAAACAAAATGTTAATTATATATATACATATATCTATATATATCTCTATATAAAAATATAACATATATATAATATGATATATATTGTGAGAGCTTTAATTGAAATATACAGATAACTATTTACTGTACATTAACATACAGCTTTAATAGAGAAGCTTGAAACTCGTGAGCTTGATATTTCCGCCTGTAATCATTAACGGCATATATTTACCTTGGTTACAACATAAAAGTAATTGCACTTCTAGCCACCTACGCAATCCTAGTAACTATAATAATCGTCTCGGTTGACATCCGCCTGCCATCATGACGAGATAGACCAGTGAATAGTTAATTTAACTATCAGGTAATCTATTTGTTAATACTCAAACTTGCCACCATTCTGTCTGGTTTCGTTATCGTTTCCGTTTAATATACGGTCTCACCTACACTCAAGTGGGTTTTCATTCTAGCTTAAGTTTATTTTATTGCGTCCACATCATTCGAACTACGCTTTACAATCTCCGCCAAGCTCTATGGTGTCACTTTTCGTCCAACACCCCAACAAATATACTCGAATCATTTTCGCATACAAAGCGTTGCCATTACATTATACTCTTCACCACTCCTCATTCACCACTTCAAACCACTCACATTGTCACTTTATAACCTTCAGAATGTCCGCACTATTACCCCTCTGCCGTCCCCCGCCCCCCTCTGCCCCCGTTTCCGTGCCTTTGTCTGTCGCATCTCTGTCGCCATGCTCCCAGCAGCTGATGAGTCTGTCCTGCCGCCTCGTGCCAGCCGCTGGTCTGCTGACCGCTGGCTCGTGCTGCTGCTAGAAGCTTTGGCTCAAGGTTAGTAAACCTATTCGTTATGTGACTGAACTTCTCTATTAATCTATATTCTCATAATTTCCTGTGGTTTTAAAGCGTTGTTTTAGTGACTACAGACTAGAGTTGGATTTCGCATGTTTCGGAACTTTCCTAACCCAACACTTTGTTTTGACCCTTGCAGAGCAATCGCATGTGATAAATGGAGCTGGCTACCGCCATGCCGACCGTTGCGACCTCGTGAACGAGGAAGATCGCATGAAGGCGTGCGCTGAATTGTTCAAACTACAGGTGGGGTACCATCTAAGCAAGGAGACCTTCTTCTTGGCCCTAACCTACCTAGATCGGTTCCTATCTGTACGTCGAGTGTTATCTAAGCACTTCCGCCTGGTTCTATTCACCTGCTTTATGCTTGCGGCTAAGATGCAGGAGGAGAGCAACCGTCTGCCTATGGCCTTGGATTTGGCTAGAGCTTGTAGTCCCAACGTGAGGTATGTTTATTTTTCGACCCTTTGATTCACTTGCATTCAACATTGGTTTCTGCACCATCTTACACAGTCTGATAAACAAGTCCGGCAGGGCGGCGGGGGGGGTTGTTGTTGTTTTTGTAGTGACCTCGGATGAGGGCGCTCATAGCTTAATCCAATTCATCGTAAAGCACTTCCTTTTCAGATTGTCGTTCGTGAACGCAAACCCAGCACGCCTCAGCATACCCTATGACTACATTTTACCGTACTCTCTCTATCTGCATTATACTCATTCTGCCATACCCGTTGTTCTTGTATAGAGTGTCTGACCTTAAACGTATGGAACTCAAGATTCTCATCGGACTCAACTGGGAGATGTCGTCGGCCTCATCGCTGTCGTTCCTCTACAAGTACTTGGAATTCCTGCGCAACACCAACGCGCTCTCCGAGACGGAGATTGCGCTTGTCCTTGATCTGGGCACCAAAGAGTTGTTCAAATACTCGGCATACACAGACAAGAGTGGGTCACAGGCGGCCTACATCGCCCTTACAGTGGCGATAGGCGCCTCAGACGAGCTGCGAGGAAGGGCCTCGCTTCTCGACCGCTTGAGTGATCTGGACGTCATGCTGGGTGAGCACACCTTGCCAGCCCGCCTGAGAGACCAGGGTACCGAACTGTCTGACCACCCTCACTGCAAGGGCAACAGCAGCATCGACGAAGGGGTCTCTAGTGGGGCCTTTTGGCCCGAAGACGCTATGCTACAGGATCTGGATATGGCTGCTACAACGACCTACGAAGACTTAGTGGACTCGGACCTGGATTTGGACGTCCATGCCAACTCGGACATGGATTTCAAACTGGAAGCTAGTGCGTCACCTACACCGGCTTCGCGCACGTTGTCGTCGTTCTCCGCACCGCCCACTTTGAACTTCTGGAACCCAGCCACCACTAAGACCACGTGCATGCGGCCGAATGTTTGCAACACTAACGTGTGCACAGACGCGGGTGTAGGTATGGGCAACGTAGGTTGCGGTAGTACCGGTACGGTTGCTGGTGGTTTAGGTATTGTAGGTGGGGGTAACGGTACAGTTTCTGGAGGTATAGCGAAGCCTGACCGTAAGCGCGTGAGCTACTTGGCTGCTGTCCTCGGGCGCTCCAATAAGCGCGTGTCGTCTGGGGGATCAGGCAGGAAGATACGAATGGTGACACACTGTACAACGCCCACGGCGTGTGTCTAGCCTGCAATGTCGTGCTGTGATGATTGTTGCTTGTTACAATCAGTGCAGCATGTACATGGAGGGAAGAATGAAGAGATGCTGGGTGAAATGAGAGAGGGGGTCACCTCAGCCTGGATATATAGGAAGGAAGAAGGAACGATCACGCCCGCAGAGTGCATGTGCTGATCGGTACACACACAATCATGACATCAATATGCTTCTAGGCGTACGTAAACACCAATACTGCGCTAAATATTAAACACAGGCGTGCTGTCTGGTATGGGTCTGGGCCCTGATTCACTTGATTGCTCTGGTACACACTTAAAGGGACACCGTGTTCGGAATAGGCCCGGAGATGGCCCCGACCAATGCTAAGTGTATGTGTAGTGAATGCACGTCCGAGCCTGGTGGTAGGGCATCTACTATCTACAAGTATGACGCAGCGTGCGGGTACCGGGTGTCTTTACGTACTCTGTTCTGTACACCCGGCTTTGTTCGTATTTATCTCCGTATAAATACTTTTTGCGAGTATAGTCAAGTCTATGGGTCCGAAGAACCCAATACGGTGGACGTCTGCATCGGGTTCTGGTATGTTCCTGGTCGCCTGTTTCGCCGAATGGCCGCATCATATAAGTAAGAGGAGGAATCGGAATAAGATTATCTACCTACACAGTCAAACCATATCTACCACACACCCTTGACTACTGTTATCCACTATTATATATGCATATGGAAAGCTCACCCAATTGTGCTCGTATGTTTCCGAACAGATGCGCCTGTTGTCTGATCTCTTTTTATATGTGTATTTAGGTGAGATGGTAACGTAACGTCTATATGGGTGTGAGACATGCTGTGTGGGTAGATGTTGGATTCTTAACTTATACTGGTCGCCTGCCGGACTAAGTAGTGGGTGTAGGAAGGGGACATAGTAGTATGCCTCTATGCAATGAGTTGTAGTCAAGGAGCTGCAACCACTTGAAGGCTGTCAGTAGCTACATAGCAACCCACGCTCCCCACACTTAACAACATCGACACACTATCAATTTGCCATTAGAAAACCACAAAATAAAAAATATATAGAACCACAAATAGTCTGAACTCAAAACTCTAATTCAATATTTTGACTTCAACGCGTCCAGACTACGCATATTGTTGTAAGCAGCGACCATAAATACCGGCTTTGCGTGTGCGTAAGACCCGATGTTAGCTTATCATCACACGTTCGTGTAATTGGCATATCGTTACATAAATAAAAAGAGATATATAGATATCTAAATATCTATATTCATAGGTGTATAGG